AGTATTCGATCTTAAACATTCAGCAATCCACTCCCGCCATACTTTGTCGAAGCCCATTTTCTCCATCATGTAGTCCAAAAAAGACCAGCTCACCTTATCATATGCCTTTTCGAAGTCAATCTTGAATACAAAACACTGGGATTTTCTCTTCCTCACCTCATCAATTGCCTCATTTGCCACAACAACACTGTCAACCAGTTGTCTTCCTTCGATGAAAGCAAATTGATTCTCCCCTATAATTGTGTTTAATACTCTGCTGAGTCTGTTTGCTAACACTTTGGCAAGAATCTTATACATGCAGCCAATTAAGGAAATGGGTCTATACTCTTCAATGCCTTGAGGATTCTCTTTCTTCGGTATCAAAACCAGGAAAGAAGCATTAGAACCCCTTACCATCCTTCCATTTGTGTGAAAATCCTTGAGGAAGACCATGATATCTGCTTTAATCACCTCCCATTCATTTTTTATAAAGCCAAAAGTAAAACCATCCGGTCCTGGTGCTTTGGTGCTGTCGCAATTCCATACCGCCGCTTTTACCTCTTCTTCTGTAAAAGGTTCAATGAGCATGCTTCTGTCCTCCTCTGAAATAGATTTGAAACTTAGCCCCTCTAAAGTCGGTCTTTGCCATCCCTCATCAGAGAATAAGTTAGCAAAATACTTCATAACACCCTGCTTTATGTCTTCAACTTGTCTTAGCTCTTTGCCTTCTACCGAAATTACATTTATTTCGTTTCTACGCCATCTCCCTTTGATGCATTTGTGGAAAAAACTGGTGTTAGCATCTCCTGATTTCAGCCAAGTTTTCCGAGCTTTCTGTTGAGCCATCTCTTCTTTTATCTGCATATTCTTTAGCAACTCAGTGTAATGAGAGCTCTTGAAAATAATATCTTCATTTGACAGATTGCTTGTTTCTCCTTTGCCATCAACTCTGTTTATCTCCTTTCTAGATTTCTCAATTTTTCTGTCCACTTCCTGTATATTGGACTTTGACCACACTCGGAGAAAGTCCTTTGCATCTTCAGCTTCTCCTTTAAAATGAATCCTCCCCAGCCTTGAATTTCTAACTCCTTCCATTTTGCTGAAACCATGTCTGTGAAACCCGGGGTATGAAGCCAAGCATTGAAGAATTTGAATGGTTTTGGCCCCCAATTTCTTACCTCATTTTTTACTAATATCGGACAATGGTCTGACAGAGATCTTTGAAGTCCCCACTGCTTTAGATCAGGCCATTTCAATATCCATTCATCATTGAATAAAAACCTATCTAGGCGACTCATGCATCGGCCATTTGGTTGGTACCATGTATACTTCCTTCCCAGCAGAGGTAGATCCTGCAAGCCATTCATTACAATAAACTCTGCAAAACCCTTTATGTCTCTCCTCGCATTCTTACCCCCCTTACTTTCCTGAGAACTTTTGATGGCATTAAAATCACCCCCTATACACCAGCACCCCGAGAATTTTCTTATCAGCTATTCAAGCTCTTTCCACAGAATTTTCTTTTTTATCAGGTCACATGGAGAGTATACATTACACAAAAAACATGGATGTTGATTTGGTCCCCATAACCCGAGGATTCCTATAAACCCCTCCCCTTCAAAGACATCCATCTTCTTGATTATATCACTATTCCAGATGATAATTAATCCTCCCGAGGCTCCTGCAGCTGATTTAGCCACCCATTCCATGTTATCTGCATCCCAAAGCTTTCTACATAATTTTCTATCAACTATTTCCATTTTTGTTTCTTTCAAAAACAAAACCTCTACCCTGTGTTTTATCACCAGTTCTCGTACCTCTTCTTCCCACATCCTCCTAACCCCCTAATATTTAATGACAGCAAATTCATGGAAAATTAGCGAGCACCTGTTTACTGGCGAGAGTGCTTACCGAGTCATTTTTTCTTCTTTCTCTATCCCGTCGTTCCATCTCCTCTAGTTTTTGCAGCACCGGAA